ATCATAGCATCAATGTCATGGGCAGTAAAAATATCTTCTAGTGGAGAAACGTAAAGAGAAAAAAGCAATGGTCCGAGAACCGATCCCTGAGGCACACCTTGTAATAGCGGAGTTGATGCCGAAGTTTTACCGTTTACTTTTACATACTGAGTTCAAGATGTGAGATATGACCGAAACCAGGATAGAGCTGTACCACAAATTCCAAAGCGAGATTTCAGATGGCCAAGTAGAATTTGATGGTCAATTGTATCGAAAGCAGCAGAAAAATCGAGCATTACTAGAAGAGCTTGATGGCCAGAATCAAGTGCCTCTAAGAGATCGTTTTGAACACGTAAAAGAGCTGTTTCAGTGCTATATCCCTTTCTGAACGCAGATTGGAGATTTGGATATATTTTATTTTCCATTAGATAATCGATAAGTTGGGGAGATGCGACTCGTTCGATCATCTTCGAGATAAACTGTAAATTTGAGATTGGACGAAAACTACTCATATCTTCAGGATCCATCGATATTTTCTTTAGGACAGGTGCAAGTTGGGAAACTTTCAAAGCATCTGGCATGGAACCACCGCCCAAAGATAAATTAACAATATTCGTAATAGGTGTTAAGACCACATGAAGACATTGTTTCAGAACCACAGTTTGGATTGGATCTAATTCACAAAACTTTGTAGGGGATTTCAAAACAATCTGCTTAATGTAGGTCTCTGTTACAGGCAAGAAAGATGAAAAACTTGAGCTGCATGTGCATGGAGGGAGATAAATATTTGGTTCTAAGACAGGAAGTTCGCATAATTTACTGTGAAGATTGCAAATCTTATCATTAAAGTAAGTTAAGAATTGATCGGCTGGGTCAACCAGAGAAGAGGGGAAAATGTTTGTCCTTTTTCCACTGGTCATCTTTTCTACTTCACGAAAAAGAGACCGCTGGTCAACATTACTAAAACGATTTCGATGGTATGATGTTTTTGCATCGTTCAGACAACGATAATAGCTGTTACAATAGTCTCTAAAAATCTGTTTATCAATTTCAAGACCAGAAGATCTATATTTCCTTTCATAACTCCTTTTCTTTGCCTTAGCCTCTCGAAGAGAATCATCAAACCATGGAGCATGCGGTCGGAGGGTGACGAATCTTGGGCGTGCAGGAGCATGCATATCCAGAACATTCGTTAGGTCAGTATTGTATTGATGGACTAACGAGTCCAGGTCGGAGCAAGGTTCAGTGATGATAGACGATGCGCAAATAGATTGGGCAAAAGCACACAAGTCAATATTCCGAAGTTTTCGGTGGTTCACAAACATTCTTGTGGATTTAGGGCGGGGAACAGAGATTCGACCAGTAATTACAGCATGATCTGAGGGAAGCTGCAATGATGAGCTTATATCGGATATAACAGTATCTGAGTTGCGAGTAATCACGAGATCAAGAAGGTGACCACGGTTGTGAGTTGGGGTTTCAACATGCTGTATCAAGTTATTAGAATCCAAAAGATCAAGAAACAGGATGGCATCACGGTTTGTTGAAACATTATCAAGATGGAAATTGAAATCACCAACCACTAGCAATCGACCAGGCAGGGCGGCCAGATTCTCAATGATAATTGGGAACTCATTGAAGAAAATGTCTGCAGACAAGCCATTTTTCTTTGATGGAGGTGGTCGATACACCGCAACGATACACAAACAAGTGGACCCACAGCTGACAGATAAAGCAATAAAGCAATATACGCAATATACTATATATATATATATATATATACAATTCAAAATTTGTTAGTTTTGGAATGGTCCATACTCATGCTATGGCATGTCAGTAAATGTAGATATTTAGTATTAATTTCCATGTTATGCTTACACTAGTTACTACAATGTTTGCCATAATCAATATCAGCTATAGCCTAAGCCTATCTACATAATATGTGGTCTGAAACCTACAACGTAGACATAGTCTCTTGTCTCATCGAATTTGCATTTTAATTTTCGGACGCTTATACGCTACAACTCGTCATGTTGTAATTATATTGTATCTATAGATTGAAAGCGAAGTGTACAGAAAGTGGATTTGTTTCAATTTTCTTCAAAATCTCTCAAAAACCCAATTCTACCCAGACGAAGCTATAATTTTCATAGTGTTTACATATCGAAAGATTGCACTGTGTCATACTGCATACGTCACTGACCGTGCGATGGAATGTCAGGAATTTCGCCAGTAGATAGTTGAAAAAGCGAACTTTAATCGTAAAATTAACAAACTTCTGGTTCAAATTTTTCAACAAGGTTGGTATTTTTATGATTGGAAAAGACCAAATTTTCAGAAAATGCAAAACCCGATATCAAAATTTTCATTTCATATACACTTTAAACACAGGCATTCATTTTTTGAAATTTCGTTTCCATGACAACGAGAATAAGCATCATTGATTTTGCTTTGTTTCCACCGTTATTTTTGTCCCTCCCCTTCCACAATACAAAAATACAATACAGGCTCACTTTCGAAAGCATGTAGCCGCGGTTACACACTAAGAACATGCGTTTGTTGCAGTGTGACCATATATGCAAATTTTTTTACTAAAGCTGCTTAAAATTGGTTGGCTTCCCCCTCCTGTTCTTAATGTTGCAGTTGTTTAAAGCAGGTGGGGTTGTCTAAGGGCATCCAACCGGATCTGGTAATAAAATGTACTAAACCTGGTCACACTGGTTTGTTGTGCATATTCTTTGCTGAAAATCACAGGTTTAAATCCTCAGATTGTGTATTGTCAAAAATTACAAAAATAATCGCGTTTTTTCATCAGTTTCTTTAAAATATGGTTGGAAAGAAACTTAGAACTAGTTACTACAAGAAAGGGTAAGCCTTTCTCTCACCAAACGAAGATGAAACCGTTCGTATAAGAGGCCACGAAAGCGTTGGACAACCATCAACTAGCACAAGCACTGAAGACAGTTCAGGGCAAATATCAACCCCTATTGGAGCATCTAGACATAAGCTCAGTGATCGAGGTTTTTACACTGATAGCACTGACTTTAGTGGTGATGATGATCAGAATAACGAGTTTATTAATAGCACAGTTATAGATTTGTTGATGTCAATGTTTTGGCTACCACACTGTCAGAAGTTCATAAATGTCCTGAAGGTTTGTTACAATATCTATGTTCTTAAAATCATAAGTTTGCTGCATTGCAATGGAATTGTATTATTTTCTGCCTTGTATTGAATTATTTTACCTTGTATTGAATTCTTTCTGATCTAATATTGAATAATGTTGCAGGTTCTTAGTACTTGAATACATCTTTATGTCCAAAATTGTTAATTGTGCATACCATGCTCCATTTTAGGTCAACTGGGTCTCACAGAAAGTGATAGTGCGAGGGCTGGGCTGATGTCGGATTTATCGATTGAGTGCTCTTCTTGTAATAAGTCAACCAAAATGGAAACATCAACAGTGGACAAGGGCCGATCATTTGATGTGAATAGAAGAGTGATGTACCATTCCCTGGAAACTGGTGGTGGCTATGAATCACTGTCATCATTTTGTGGTGTCATGAATATGCCATGTATGTCAAAACAGGCCTACTACAAGCAAGTTGACATTATTCTGGAAGCACAAGAAAGTGGAGCTCAGGCAGAGTTGTCGAAAGCTGGGAAAAAAATTGCAAAATCTCCTCAATGCTGAGAATGATTCTGATTCCGATGAAGAGACAAACCAGGACGATAATAACATTGTTGATGTCACTGTTAGTTTTGATGGGCCATGGGCTAAACGAGGATGTACTTCACTTTTTGGCACTTCTTTGTTATGTCTGTTGATAGTGGAGAGTACGGTGGCCCACAACTCTCACATCAATAACAAATAGTTCACAGCATTAACAAACAACTCACAGCATTAACAAACAGTTCACAGCATTAACAAACAGTTCACGGCATTAACAAAACAGCTCACAGCATTAACAAACAGCTCACAGCATTAACAGATTGCTCACAACAACAAATAGCTCACATCAACATCAAATAGCTCACATCAACAACAAATATAATAGCTCACATCAACAATAAAATAGCGCTAAAATCAAACATTAAGGACAGCGACTTCCCACTATACAGTTGTGAAAAGTCATGAAACAGAAATGAAAGTCAACGAAGCAGCCATTAAAACATAGATCGAATCAACAGTTTCAGGTTATAAAAGTATAAATGATATAAATTCTTCTCGAATTTAATTAAAATGTCCTGTATGAGGTGTGGCAACGATATCGGGAACTTGGACAATTTTTGTGCTCAATGTGGTGAAGGTATTTCGGAATAATTTGTTTATAATAATTTAATTTTATATACTATGGCCCCAGCCAGTTGTTGAAAGCTGGGTTAGCTTAACCCTAGGTTAACCTAAAATTCAAAGCAAACTTCCTGACAGCTTGTCTATAAATTTGGAAATCTTTCTTCAGAGATCTTGTCTGGATCGATAGGAGTTTATTTATCTGAAGTTTTGAAATAAACAGACGTGTATAAATACATAAACTAAAACAGCAGGTTAAATTTTAACCCAGGGTTAGTGCTAATCCAACTTTGAACAACCGGCCCCAGGGGACTAAATAATATTGATAACTGCAGTGGCGGAAATTCACGACAACCCCCCCCCCCACTCGAAAAGACTGTTTTTAGCCCTCTTTTATGTCAAAATTTCTGAAAATTCGTCAATTTTCTATGAAGGTGGGGGTGCAGCCGCCCCGCCCCACCAAGATTTCCGCCATTGATAACTGTCTTCCGAAACTGTTTCATACTTAGACATGATGGCGAGGAAAGTCAGGGTAATCTTTAAAACGTTGATCGAAGACAAGTAAAGCAAAGCAAAAATGGCAGAATTTGAAATTATAAATGCCGACTACCTTGGATGACATCAATCTTGTTACACTAGCAGTCGAACACGCCCGTTTGTAGAGCATGCTCGGGGAACGAGATTGGATTGGAATGAAAACGCGCTTTTGTCTTTACAAAATACGACGGCGTCGGACCTCTGGCGCCGGACCATCTAAAGCTGAATTCAAAGCGCCATAAAAGTCGAAGGATTTGCCCAAATTTAAAATTTTGCATTGAAATACTAGAAATCATGCCAAGATTTGATATAGCAAAAAAAAGTTTGAAGCATTAGGAGCACTTTAATAACGTTAAATGTAATGGACGGCAAAAACAAAGTATTTAGCGCGCAAGCCCAGCATCATAGGCGTAGATACTAGAGTGACAGCATAACATAGTTGTATACTGTAGTTATTTTAATCCCTGCCGAATTTTCATGATTTTCATGCAATCTCGTACAAGATTGTATGCAGTAAAATCCAAGATGGTGGCCAATGTTGAATTTCAGGATTATTATGGATAGGGTCAGGGATTAGACGTTTAGGATTAGTACTTAGTATCAGGCCTATGGTCAGTATTTATTTGGTGACTACTACATTTTGTGAGTGCGTGACAATGCATCATTTGATTTAGTTCCTTAATTAACTCATTCTCATCCGGTCGAAAAGTAGCAATTTCGAGTGGTGTTGTTTCAAACGCTTATATCTCTCAAATTATACATCGCACGGAAACAGAAATTGCATCGTTCGAAAGAGGAAGACTTCTGCTTTCCAACGATACCAATTTCAATTCCATCCGGAGCTTGGTTAACGATTTACTCGCATAAATTTGCATAAATTATGATATAAAAAAATGTTGCAATTATGCATAAATGTATTTAGCGGTTCAAATTTCAAATATGTCAAAAAATTTTATGAATATGACTGAAAGACACGGTTATGATCTACAAGTACCCGAAGTTTCATGCATGTAGCATAAATAGAAATATTTTTATTGAATTTTTATATAAACTAGGTAGTGGAGTAAAATTTACATTTTGTGCTCACATGAAACAAATACCTTTATCAAAGGTCCTTTTTTATTGCTGCAACATGTTATCAATACAAATTTCCAATATTTCTTACTCTCCAAAGATAGTATGGCACCAAAATAAGTCTGTGATACCCACAAAGAACACTCAAATCATGATTAGCAAAATGTCTTTATTTCTACAATTACTACATACATTCTTAGATAATCATTACACCATTGACTTTAGTTATTAGTGGCATAACCAGCCTCAAAATTTGGTCATGCTATTCAAATTTGAAATAATCACTACTCATTTGTTTAGAAATTGATTGTTTTCACAATCTAGAACATGAAAATATTTGCAAATAGCATGACCAAGTGTTGTTGGGCTGGCATCATCATAATTAGTAGTTATAAAAAAGTAATGTTTTCCAAGGCAGTAATGTTTGCTAAAGCAGTAATGTTTGCCAAAGCACATAATTGGATTATGTGGTGAAAATATTTCCTTTATATTGTACTACAAAAGACCTAAGACTGTAACCAAACTGATATCAGATCACCACGTCATACCCAAATCTGTTGCGATGAATATCTGGACTTCTTCCTGTATAAATTTCAAAGTCGCAATATAACCATTAGGATTGTCTGCAGCAACCCACAGATTTATTCCCCACATAGTAGGTCATCTAGCTTTCATGAACTGCCTAACCCCCAACCTATTTCTTGATTTGACAGTGTGTTTGTCTGCAACAACAATATTCTGTGACGGCTGGTACAGTTGTTGATGCAGTTTATTGCTGTAGTCTTTAGTACAGGATCTACCATATTCACAAATGCCATAAGCGCTTTGTACCTAACCCGAGAAATTATGTCTATTGCCCACAGACCATGATATAAGGTTTTTACACTCCAATAATTTTCAATCTCACTGTCGACCTTTAGCAAACCTGCATATTATACTAAAAGGCAATCAACCTCTCAAGGTTGGTGGACTGCAAGACCCTTCTTTATTAGTATATGGGGATAACTTTTGAGTTATTTGTATGTGGGCATATGTATTGGTATGGCCAGGAAACTACCTCCTGAAGCATTCCCTTAGTAAAAAAGAGTCGAATGAACTCAAGCTCACAGTTCATTGAGCCGAATGAACTCAAGCTCACAGTTGATCGAAATGGATCCCGGACATGTCAGTGAGGAGCAAAATCTGGGAGAACATTCCTGGCGTCAGGATCATCATATCCGTCATGTACTATGGGGCCTAGTGGGGATGCTAGACAGGGAGCTTTCGAAACCTTAGGTCCTAATGGCTGGGCTTCCCTCTACCTCTACTCATCCCCCTACCTTCCCTCTGGGTTGGTGAGTGGGGTTCTCATGACTCATCAGAACTCTACTTCCCTGAGGCTATGAAACAGGAACAGCAGATAGGAACAGGATCAATATATTCATCAGTGCGAATAAAAACTTTTATAGACATGGTGCCACTTAAAATTATAATAAGAGCCAACTAGTAAGATATAAGTATGAATACTTGGCTATTATGTATGTAACAAACAACCAAACATGTGCTCAAGGCTCATTTTACTTCGCCTAGGAATCAGAGATTTTTATGCCTAAAACACCATAAATTTTCGTCAACAATATAAATAAATACCATTTATATTTGTCAATTTCAGTATGAAACGATTATTTCAACACAAAAAAGCGATATGAGGACATACTTGGTCGTACTAGTGAAGCTATACTAAATACAAATAAATTTACAACGCCATGGCAACGGCAAAACATTGAAATAGAAATTGTCTAGAAATGATACAAATACTTGCCTTGAAACTCCAGACACGACTCCCAATGCCAGGTTGAGATACTTGTCTTCATACGAAGACATTCCATCATTACTAGCACTATCAGTTTGCAAAATAAAGCCAAAAACGTCTTCAGAATGCGATTCAAACAAAACTACAACACAATACATTTCAACGCTCGTGCGTTCCCGTGCGCGATAATCAGGAAAATTGCTCTAAAAGATTTGTTTTTCTGCCTAAGCCAATCAAAATCCGTATCTAGGGTAAACAAACACTCCGGAAGTGATTCCTGCAGTCTTTTACCAGGAAACTGTAATGCTTTACCAAGAATTTGGCGTCCGAAGTTGGCCGAACACTTTCCGATCACGAGAATTGCCATAATAGGCTTAGATTATTTCGCAATTTCCCGAGACTGCTCCGAGCTATAGAATGGAAGATGGCGATTCTTTTGGTATATTTGTTATCATTATACGTTGAAAAGAAGCAAAAAGACGAGCATTTGAATCAGGCGGAACATTCAAAATGCAACAGCAAAATTGATAATGTGTCATTTGCATAAATTTCACCGCATTGATCATTTCAAGGTAAGAAATTCGCTTGAAATTGAGCGAGAAACAATAAAATTATATGAATATTTCTGAATATATAGTATCGATCAAGCGGAATTTTTTGGTGGTATTTTCGTATGTCTACTGCAAATACTCGCGAAGTTCTTTAATATTTAATCTTCCCGTCATATACGTCGGAAATTAATATTGGCGGATCGAATTGAGTTAAGTTACAGTGTAACAATCAGGAAATAGGCAATTTTCTCAGGAAGAATAATGAGTCATGCATTGCATGTGGAGCCTCATTTGCATTGCAATTTTTCTAAAATATTTCACTGTGATGACCTCTGACAACAGAACATCGACTTCAGAACATTTTATTTATTGGTACCCCTCATTACCAACTGTAATTTATAGGGCCTGTTTTATTACAAGCAAGGGGAATGGTAAAAGTGAAACATCACCAATTACCCTCCCACATGTACACAATAATTAAACAGTTGTTAACCGCCAATAGTACTAACAATTATTTTGTAAATTTATTTTAAGACTTGCGTAACATCAACAGCTCTGACACTACTGACAGCCCGGACTCGACAGAATCAGAACATTCCGAAGATAGTGTTGATGAAGAAAGCATCATAAAGTACTATTTTAACAGAGGGTTTGAATATGAAGAGATACTTAAATTTCTAGGAAAAACACCATAATTTGATTATCAGTTACAACACTCTTCTGAGGAGGCTCAAACAGTATGGACTAAGCAGAAAGATGCAAGTAACTGATAACACTATAAATGTGGTTAGAGATAGAATATCTACTATCCTTGCTGGTCCAGGATCATCTGAAGGATATCGATCTATGTGGCACAGACTAGAACTTGAAGGGCTTAGGGTACCAAGAGCAGTTGTTGCCACCATTCTTAGAGAACTTGACCCACAGGGTACCGAACTACGAAAATCTCATCGCTTAAAAAGAAGAGTTTATAGAAATCCTGGCCCAAATTATGCATGGCATATCGATGGATATGATAAGCTTATCAGTCCTTCGATCAAACAATTTCCTGATGGCCCTGCATCACTGTATCTTAGCAGCGTTAATTCCTTAGGAGGGTGCCCAGTGGAATTATTCAGTGACCTAGGAACAGAAAATGGCATGGCAGCATGGCATGGTCATTTTTGTCTAAACAACAGACGCAGTGGTGGAGAAGATTTTTTGCAGATCTTGAAGCTCTGGACATATTGGACTCCTCTTGCGAGTTAAGAATGGAGTGTCTTTGGTACTGCTTTTCAGTTGCCATTCAAAGTGAATTAGATGCTGTAAGAGAGCACTGGAATACCCATTATATTCGGAAATCCCGACATGACACAGTGAATGGACGGCCAGACTCCCCCCCCCCCCTCTTGCTGAGCATCATGGCACAGTTGACATGTTAGTGCAAGTGTCTCAAGAGAAGATTGAATATGTGTCCACACATGTGATTGATGAGCTACCAACACATGAACTTCAAGAGTATTTTGAGTATGTCAGGTTAAGCATAGGTTATTCACGACCAGAAACATGGCAAGCAGCTATAAACTTATATGAGAATTTAATTGATATTTCTGAACATGGCAGATAATAGGAAAACCATATGTTATGTAATATTAATATTACATGCTAATTTTTGTGATTAAGGTGATACTTGTAGATTGAGTCAAATCGTCGAACAAAATGTTTAGATTTTTAATATAAACAACTAATGTACAACTGCTGAATGAATCAAAGCCTGAAATAACGAGGAAAAAAAATAATCTTCTATTGTTTAATTAGTATGTTTATTCATGCCTATTGGCCAGAAAGTCCAACCAAAATGAAATTTTAAAAAAATATGTTTTGTTACCCCTGTTGGGCGGGTTCTTTCCATCACTCCTTGCGTGCTCACTTTTCCCTCATGAGAAACTTCATGTAAGCCTCTGCCACATAGGAGATATAACTCCTCCTCTGTCACGGAATACTACACAGAAGGCCATATCTATTGCTTTTTGCTAAAACGTTTTCGTCATTATTAGTCATTCAACAAGTACCATAAACAGAAGTAGTCACCCGCTGGAAATATACATGACTTTCTCTCACACAGTGCGATTTTGGATATTTTCAGGGGGTGTATACTTTTGTTTAGGGTGCTTGCTGAGTGACAAATCATGACGAATAGCACTTACGAAAAAACAATGGGGTTGGCATTCTGCGTAGTATTCTCTACCTCTCAGCAGATGAGAGAGTTTTATTACTGTATTTGGCAACTGAATTTCCAATGTACGAAAACATCATCTTTTATAAAGTAAATCCTGCAATGACTGCATGATAGTTTTAAATTTGTTAGACTATAATTTCACACTATGTATTTGGTTGTGAAAAAAAAAATTGGTTGTAAATCGTTGAATCAAATCATTATTTCAGGCTTTGGAAATATTAACAATTAACGTAACAACAAGAACTTGACAACAGTATGATTTTGTCTTCCTCATATCCGCACCAACCTGTTATTTATAAGTCATAATATGAATAGTCCCCCATTTTTTTTCATCAATATTACAGTAACATATCAATATGAAATTAATTACAATAATACTTGATGTATAACTGCAAGACTTTCAATTTTCAATAAATACAACATAATGTACGCTATATTAATCTAGAAACTTAGTCAACTCAACTGGTGAAATGTGAAACAAATTTCACTGATATTTCTAATGAAAAGCTCTGAAAACCCACAACATCTTTTCAGAACATTGTTCAAGTTATGGCTTACCAAAGTCCTGACTTTTGGAGTATGCAACTAATAAATGGCTATGAAATTCATCTGAATCTACCATATGTTCCATTGGAAAAGTAATCTGCATTCCACAAGCCCCAATTAAAGGAAAACAAATGGTATGCTTTGGATCCCTAGATTTACAGTCATGATAAAAAAAATGGTAATCGACAATTTCTTACCATTTAAAGGTATATGCTTCTGACCAGTTAGCCACATCATCATTCCAGGTACATTCACCTCGGCCGTTTCGAACTTTTCCTCTTGTATCATGTCATCAGGAACTTTCTGCTTCTCCTCGTCTTCATCTTTGTAGTTCCAAGCAACTGGCGCTGAGTATCCAGTGACCTTTGTATCTTCAATGCTGTTCAAAAAGTCCTGAAAGTTATCCACAACTTTTTCCTCCAGTGTTCTTCGACTTGAACCTGGTTCAGAGTACTCTGGCTGCAAGCAGGAGAAAAGATAATTTGCATCAATATTGTCTTGAATTAAACCTTGAACAAAGTAATACTTGCATAAACCAGGGGCTTTCTTTAGTAGCTCGTCGATGCCATATAGTGCAAGGCCTTGCATGAATTCTTTAAGGTACAATACTCTCTTGTTAACCAGACTAACAACAATAGATCGAACTATTTCATCCACATGGCCATCATCGATTACACCTGTGTACCCATAGTCTAATATTTTGTCTTGATTACCTTTGATGTTGTTTCTAATTTTATTGACTAATTCCTTTTCACTCTTGGTAAGATGTTGATCTATGTTTTGTTTCATCGTGCACATTTGACAGCGACCCTCCCCCCCCCCCATCCCCTTGTAAATCCATCCCTGGACTAATATGATAGACCACATGAACATACCTATTTCCAATAATCCACTAAAATGAGTGCAACATTTATAAAGTATAATCAATGTACTCATATGATTTCAGGGAATAAAGGAAATAATTTTACAGGAAATAATTTTTTAAGGAAATAAAATTTTTTAAGTAATCTCTGGGTTTACCTGGATTATTTATTTTATTTTTTATATTTAAAAGCATACTGGATATACCAATTTATCCTTTTCGTGTGTGTGGAAGTGGGATTTGCAACCGATGTGACCAGCTGTCATGTTAGTTTTCAATGATTCGTAAATTATGTGATTACTAGTACTCCAAGACATGGAAACGGATGTTAAAAAGTGCCGAGGTGTGCCCACCTAGGTCAGATCCAGGTCGGCATTTTTTTGCCCACCTCAATTTTGACTGATTTTGAGGGCTGAGGTTATTTTGAGGCAACAAGGGAAAATGTGATTTATTCACATATCCCGAGGTACCTCAAAATAACCTATACATATTTTTCACATTGCTGGGTTTCCTTTGTTATTATCGGGAATATATTCAATATTCCCCTATAATCAATTCCCCTCTTATAATTCCCTCTAATATTCACCTCTAATGTTCACCTGTAATGTATTTGCAGCACAAAAAAATCAGAAAAAAACCCAACCCAACATCATGAAGGCAATAAGGCATTAGGAACAAGGCTGTGCCACCTGGGGGGTGTGTCGGGTGTATCAACCCCCAAAGAAAAGTAAAAAAAAAGGGGCCCAACTTGGGGAGAGAGGGCCCTGGAAAGCTGGAATTGCGGAACGTGTTAAATATTAAGGAATTTTCTGGAAAATTGGTCTAAAAAGGTCTTCAAAACTAAATTTAAGCCCCCATTATATAAACTTTTGGGACCTCCTTCCCCCATCGCCAGTATTTTGCAGAAAAATTTTTCGGTTTCTGCAAAATTTGGGGGGGGGGGGCCAAATGGGAGGGGGCCCAAATTTTTTTATTTCACCCCCCGAACCAAAAATCACTTGGCACGGCCCTGATTAGGAATTCTTGCTATTATGACTCATTATTTTCCCCACTTACCAACCCCCCCTCCCCATAAATAATGAACACTCCCTTATCACAGGGGTGGATCCAGCAAGGTTTTTTTAGGGAGGTGCTGGGCGAGCAGCAGAGTGTTACTTTATAATTCTTTAAGGGGTGGTGGGAGAATATTCAAATGAATTGCCTTACTAACGACTAAAGCGTCGAAGGCGCGAGCTCCCTAGGGGGTCCAGGGGTATGCCCGCAGAAAATTTTGAAAATTAGAACCCTAGAAATGCCATTTTCTGTGATATGGGCATTGAATTGCAAGCTTCAGCTTGACTTCAAATAAGGAAAAACCATGGGCATGGAAATTGTGCCATATTTCTGAATTTGATTTTCTTGCACCCCCCTTGCACCACTGTTGACCAAGGCCAACAGGAGTGCACACCCATGTGCACCCCCCTGCCATATATTAAATCCACCCCTGAATTATCACAATATAAATTTCAGTATAATAAATCTAAGGAAATTTGCCCACAAAATCTATGACTATGGCCATGAGATTGAGGAATTCCTATTAATTAACTCGGGTTACTGAATGTAGTAAATCTGAATTTATTATTGTATATCTTCTGCAATATTCATATGTAAAAATAACAGAATATAAGAAAGTAAAGTTGAACCCACAGGTCAATGATAATGTCCATCGCACGTGCTTACGATTAAAAAGTTTTACTAACCTTTTCCGCACTTCACACAAAAATTTGAACCATTTTCTGCTTCCTTGCCACAATTAGGACAAAACATTTCCGCCTTTCGTTATGTAAATCGTTTCTTTTATACACATATTAAAGTTCGCAAGTTCCCGTGTCCACTTCGATCGGCTATGATGTCATCTGTGAATTGATAAATTTTTCCAGTAAATTTTTGACTGGACGGCGTGGAAAAGTCGTGTGGGCGCCCGAGTAAAGAACTTCATGTTGTAACGATATAGTTGATTAAAAATAAAACCGCTGTACAAACGCCACGATGTGAGCTATTTGTTGTTGATGTGAGCTATTTGTTGATGATGTGAGCTATTTGTTGATGATGTGAGCTATTTGTTGTTGATGACTTGATGTGAGCTATTTGATGTTGATGTGAGCAATATGTTGTTGATGTGAGCAATTTGTTAATGCTGTGAGCAATTTGTTAATGCTGTGAGCTATTTGTTGTTGATGTGAGCAATTTGTTAATGCTGTGAGCTGTTTGTTAATGCTGTGAACTGTTTGTTAATGCTGTGAACTATTTGTTATTGATGTGAGAGTTGTGGGCCACCGTAAAATGACCCTTTTGCAACAACCCCAACAACGGTCGTTATAACTTCGATTTCTTGATTTTGATCAAGAACTTTAGCATTTCCATCATTGGTTTGCGAACAACTGTGTGTTTTCTGTTTGGGATTCCCCAAGCTTGTGGTTAAGGTGGCTCCCTACAGTTAGTACAGTTTAAGTACGATTTATATAGATCAGACTTCATCCTCGCGACCAGCGCGTGGAATCGTCGTGTACTAAAGGAATACCGAATGGTTTTCCGTGCAGGATTGCGTGATCCATGCACGCGGGATGTTGCGAGACTTTCGGAAAGCGTAAAAATACACGAGCCGTAGACGAGTATATTTTTACGCTTTCCGAAAGTTGAGCAACATCCCAAGTGCATGGATCATGCTATCCTGCACGGGAAAACTATTTTGTAATTCTTTTATAAAATTACTACAGTGAAACGACGCTTAACTTGATTTAGTCCGGCGGATATACATTCATTTTTGAGAAAATCATGCACTTTGTGAAGAAAGCACCAAATTTGGCACAGTTATAGTTCTTGATGAGGCGAAAAAAACTGGATATGGAGGCAACTCCAAAAATTCAAATTATAGCCGTTAACGGCCCATTTTCCGTGAAAGCGAGGCAGAAAAACCGGAAGTGCTATATATATCTTGATTTTTTATTTGTAAATTGGCTAAAATATTTTTTCTGTTCTCAGCTAAGCTTTTTATGTTTATTTTAGCCTATGTAGTTTTTAATGTACGAAACTAGTTCATTTATTACAATTTAGCCGATGTCAATGGTGAGAATATGGTCAAATCAACTCATTTTTAATCAGTAAAAGGCTGTTCTCTCTTTTTTAATAGACCCATAACATCATTTAACTGTACAAATATGTAGAAAAAGTAGCAAAGGACTTACAATAAAGTTTTCTGCTTGACCATTTGCAATAAAGAGACCTTGCAACGTGTTTTATTCACGAAGACTGTAATCGGCGGCCATTTTGAATTTATAATGTTTGGCGGGAAAATATTTTGTAGTATATTTTTCATTATTTTGTGAAGTTTTTGCGTTTGTTTACATAGCACTCTTGTAAAACGTAAAGGTACGTATAATTTAAGTCACTGTTTACATTAACTTGCTTCATGATAATAAAATATATTGTACATTTTTTGCAGAGAAAAATGTCATAATATCGAGTTAAAGTGTTGTTTTTGAGCAGTTGTTTTTGAGAAGTTGCAGGCAAAATGGGTTGATGAAATGATGTTTTGGAAGATATATAATGCATGTGATTACTTTTAGTTTGTTATTATACATGTAAGTATATATATTGCATCAATTTACTATCATCTAAAGACTCAATTTCAACAAAGTTGTACTTGTAAACTTTGTTTTAGCATGCAGAATTCCATAATATGGGATAAATGTGTTCTTTGTCAGAAGGACAGTGCCGAATTATTACAATGTCCTGCTAAGTCAAGTCGAAAAGATGTTGGCGCTGGTTATAAAACTCTTGCCTCTAACATTTCAAAGTTTCAAGAACTAGGATACATGCCAATACCTTTAAATATTAAGGTTTTAGAGGAAGGGAATGGCATAGAACATTGTCTTTTAAAACATGAAGCAAAATGGCACAAGAGCTGTAATTCGAAATTTAACAAAACTGAGCTTAAAGGCACAGTGCACCCAAATTCGCGCATGCGCATTGCGTTCAAAAACTTGAAAAACTTAATGTTGTAAATCAAGTTTTAAAAATCAAAATGGCGTCGTATATACAGTCTACAGTACTAATGGGTAAAGAAAGTTTTACGTGTTTAAAATCAGTTATATAATGATGTATATTTGTGCGAAATCAAGGCTAATAATTTGATCTCCGGATGTTCCGAATTATCACAGTTATTATGTATGCGAAGTGTAATTTGATACCCGTCTGTGCAGATGAAGCATCGAGCGGTATTGGCCGAATTTCACATTTTTACATGCGTTCAATGCTATGGAAAGCTCTAAAACTGACAGTGACGATAACTTGCGTTGTCCTACTGAGCCAGTGAGCCTGGCCCATCTTTTCAAGCGCCTGGAAGTGGTACGCACGGTGGGAAAAGACGTGGTTCTGGGAGGAAACGCAAGCGTGAGGGAGGCTACCTAGTACCTAACGAGAACGTACGTACGAAGTGCGATTTGGAAGACCATTTCCCTGCACAATGATGTCTATGACCTGTGGATGGATGTACAAGAAATTTATCAACTACAATGACAAGTCGAGTAAGCCATCATCAAGCAACATCAACTCGAAGGCAATTAAAAACATAAGTTTTAAATTCAGGTATTTATACTTTTTTCTCATACGTATGCCTTTTTAATACTCGCCTATGTGTTTTAAATTTATGAATGATATATACAGTGAACTGAATATATAATAGTTTATATACAAGATTTTAATACTACTGCATGTTCCTATTTTCTATTGTCACTGTAAATATTGGGCCTATAATTGGCCCTATTGGCTATACCCATCATAGAACTCATGGCGGTATTTGCTTTCCTAGTCCTTGCTACCATTTCATCTCGAATATTTTTCTTGTTTTATCTCTTGAATTATACTTTTATATGATTTATTACTTCAT